AAGTTAAATAAAATAAATAAATAAAATAAATATGTTTAAGTGAGAAGATATAGGCTAGGCTGCCTGTATCATATGCAACTTCTACTAACAGTAAGGATAGTATCGGCCAGTTTGGACACAAAAGCTATGGATTTATTCCTTGAAAACAGTGTATGAAGCAGTGTATCAATATGATGGAAATGGATAATTTGCAAGGATAGTATGATACAGAGAGATGTAGTGAACGGTGTCAGTGTTAACTAGTTTTAGCTGTGTTTTTAAAATTTTTCTTATTTCATGCCTTTAATTTGTTTGGCATACTATTTGTTACTTTTTTTCCTGCAGTCTGTATAATGTTACATCAGAAGTGAATAGGATGTATATATGTAGAATGTTGGTTGGGATTGTATTAATTCAGTGCGCATGTTAAGGAAGCTGTATTTGATGGCTCCTGCATGATAAAATCTCCTTTGAAAATGAAAGCTACCACATGAACTCAAGTCAGAAGAGAACCCTTTCTTAAAAAAGGTGGCCCGTACTAGGAATTAATCATATCAAAATAATTGTTTTAATGGCTGTTGTGTGTATGTGTGTGTGTGTGGTATTGGTGGGGGAATTTGGCACAGGAAAGGAACAAGGCTATATCAAGTATATACAGTATATACATATAAACCTTAAATTCATCTCTCCAGAAGCAGATTTTTAAGCAAAAATCAAAAAGATGAATGAGATAAGGTTTCCAGGTCAATTTTGGCCCAAACCATATATTTTCCATAGCCAGAGAATGTTTCATTATGGGGAAGCAGTTAAAATTTATACCATAATTTCTATGAATGTTTTACAAAACATGTATGATATTTTCTATCCTAATAGTATTTTCTGTTCTGCTTTTAGGTATAAGCCAAACATTGTATAATACTGGAAAGGTACTCACCTAGTAAATTAAGAGCAGCGCGGTACTTTACCAAGGCAAAATGGACATCAAAAATATTCTACTGTAGTTCAGTAGGTGGTAGAGGTATCCTATGACTAATGGAAACTTTCTGCAGCATTAGATGAGACGCCTGAAGCCAAGGGTGTCACAATGGTGGAAAGGTATGGAAATTAATGTGCTTTAATGGGATTGAATTTACTGGGGCCAAAAAATATTAGGTTTTGTTTCTGTTGAACATTCTACGTGGTGATACTGTATTTTCCAAATATCAGAGCATGGACTCATGGAACAAGTCTTAATTTCTCATGTTTAACAGTCATTTAACCATTTGTTTGATACCTTGAAAGCTCTTAAGATTGCAGGTGCCTCCAAGAACTAAAATCCCATCTTATAATGTTCTTTTCTTTTAGCCACTCTAAAGAAAATTCTGTATTTATTCAGTTTTATTTAAGGAGTGCATATAACACATTTTATCATTTATCCCAGGGTGATTTACAAAAGAAGAGAGAGAATGGGAGACCCTATGCTTTGTATGCAGTCTATCCCAAACACGATCTCTGGCAACTCCAGAAGCAGCTAGTGGGAGAGACTTCTGCTAGAAAGCTCTTTCTCTTCTGTATTGGTGAGGTAGACAAATAGTCTGTCCTGGTGTAAGGCAGTTTCTAATACCCTCCAAAATTTCTTTTACCTTGCTAAACTGCGAGTCAGAAGTAGCAAAGCAGTAAGAGTTGCTGGTCCCATTATGCTTTTTATCCAGCATGCTTCAGTAGAGTAAGTGGTGACTTTTTTTTTTTTTTTTTTGCAAAGTTTAACTATGGCCCGGTTCACCTATCATGTTAAGGTTCACCCATCTTGGTTTGGTTTGCTTAATTGTGATAAACTAAAATTGAATTGAAATTTGGACAGCTTACCAAGCCATAAAGCCTGGTTCACCAAACACCATGTCTGAACACAAACCCTGCGGAAGCAGTTTAACTACATCAATTTCATACCTTATAGCAGGGTTCCTCAACCTTGGCGACTTGAAAATGTGTGGACTTCAACTCCCAGAATTCCCCAGCCAGAAGGAACCCTGCCTTATAGCATATAGGCTCTTAGACCTGCACTGCAGGTCAACTGCATCTTTTCTGTGACACGTGAGGTGTCTGAAAATGTAGTTTATATATTTCCCAGAGATGATTGCAGCCCCAGATAGCATGCTTGTCATATTGCTTTCCCTGCCCCCAGAAATGTAATGCCTTTTGAATCACCTCTGGCAGAAATGCAGGACCCATCCTTACATTAATGTTTCAAATATCCCTGAGCTACACAGTCACATTAGCCAGAAATCCTTTTGAGTTGGATGCTTTATCTACAGATTATACAAGCAAAGTAAAGAATTAAAATGGTCTTATAGTCTCCTTTTTATTTTCAGTGCAACAACTTGATATTTCTACAATTGGTTAAGAATATTGATGATCTTTGTTATCTCCTCTTTATTATTAATGATACCCTACTTGAAGTGTTAGCCAGAAAGAGACCTTATACATTTAACTAATTTAAACATATAATGAAATTGATTATTTATTAGATTTCTTTCTGCTTTAGCAGGATGCTCAAATTTGCACATAATGTATAAAAAATAATACAGAAAAGTACATTAACTTGAGTGAGTAATATAACCTGGAACTAAAGAAAAGTAATTAGAAGGCTAAACACCTCAAATCAAAGAAAAGCTAAATGATTGTAAAAAGAAAAACTCAGTAAGAAAGGGGCAAAGAATTCCTGTTGAAACAGCCAACTTTTACAGAGTGTAAGCTCCTCCATTGCTGTTCAGTTGGCAGTTGAAGATATACAGACACACAACAGGTGAACACAAAGAACAAGGAGGAGAAGGAAGCTGTGCTCCTCCAGATGTTGATGGTCTGCAACTTCTAGCAGCCTAAGAAACATGCATAGTGGCAAAGAATTTTGGTAATTATAGCTCAGTGACATCTTGGAGAGTCAAAGTTTCCCCAGTAAGTTTGCAAATCCTCTTCAGTGGCTCTCCCGCTTAAACCGCATTACAACACTGTTTAACAAATAAAACAACATTCCTGGAGCCCTTGCAAATCATAGATTTCCAGCCAAGATCAGAGGAATACAAATTAGATTTTTTTGTTTGTTTGTCTTGTAATTGTTCTATTTGTTGCTTGTGTCGTGTCAGAGGTGATAGAGGACCCTTTGAATGAGATGACATTTTGTCTAAGAAAGTTTCTCCTAAGTTTTTTGTGCCCTCCGTAAAATATGGCTAGGCTCTTTTAACCGAATCAGTTTGTTGCTATGCTGATTAAATTAAAATACAAGCTTTTAGAAGCACCACAAACAACTTCAAAATATTATTTCAGGGATGCGAATGAACATCTAAGCATAAAAGATCTGCTGTCTGCTCCTAACTTACCGAGAACTTTGCTTAGCAACAGAAAACTGTATCATCCACATTCTTCTTGCATTCTGTTACTAGCAGGGTACAGAGGTGTATTTTGAAATCCCTCTTATGAACTGGCAAGCACATCCGGACTATTGTAATGTTCCAAAGTTCTTTACAAAAAAAGTTGATAATGTTTACATTTCGGCTGGACTGTGTACAGTTACCACCATAGTTGCATCACAGAACAAATGTGCCTCCTCTGAATAATTATAACTACCCACCCCAGTTATGACTCCAAATAAAGCATGTGTTCAGTACAAATCAAAATCACAGGATTTCTATGGATATTCTCTGTGGTAAGTTTGGCCACAAAACCTACAAGGCACACAAAGAAAGAACTTCTAGAGAAAAAGACTTGCCTCTTGTTTTGGCTCTCCACTTTTTAAAAGCCAGTCCCATTTCAAGGAAGAATGAAGAATCACACCAAGCTCACAGCCGCACTCCCCTGAAAGCTGCACATCTTCCAGTACTTCCAGAAATGAAATAAGTTTGTAATAATTCAGAGATCATTTGTACTCACGCTGAGCAGTTCATAAAACCTCTTCCTGTGTCCTTTCCAAAGTAGAGATGATGAATGCTGATGAAGCGTTCAGGAGGTCAGAGCATTCTTGCCCGTCTAAAGACGGACTGGGACATGTGGTAAAAAGACTTCACAGGACAGAATATTCGCTGCTTCGCTTCTTTTTTCAGGCACGGTCTCATGGTGGCTCCTGTACTATGGCCCTCCCCTTTCCACGGGCAGGGAGGGAGCTGTGTTTCCCAGCATTGCCTGTGCAACACCCCGTTGGAGTGCAAACAAAAGATAAGGGCAGCAGGATCAAAACCACTTGCTTTTGGTAGTCACATCTCCATCAATTTCCGTTATGAACTTCCTCCCCCTCTCACTATATAGCAAAAGCACCTTAATCTTAAAACCCTTTGATCAACCTGTAGATTGCAGCTGTAGCATATTTTCCATCCTTAAGAATGTTCTTTTTGAATACCGAGAACCTTTACTCCCTTGTCGCTCCTTCCTGTTCATTTCCCCCTATTTTTCTGGTTTTCTTTCTTTGCCAGTAATCCGTGCCCTTTCATTTAAGGACATTTGGGTTCTGTGCTCTTCCTGCTATCACTGGGTGTGTTTGATTTGTAAAACAATCTTTAGTATTCATCTTCTCTCCTTCACTCTCCGTGGCAGATGATGGGTGTATCTGGAATGACAGTGCAGTCTCTTTACATGTAAGAGCAGCTGCAGAGCATAAGAATAGATCCGGCATTAGTTCCTTCTTGTTTGAGCTGTAAACCCAACCTGTTGTCTTAATTTAAACATATTTACTTGAGTAAACTGGGTTTGCCTATTTATTGATTATGTGGCCCATCTTCAGCATTACTATTAGAAGAGTCTTCACACGTTGGTTTCATTTACTTGTGCCTCATTCTTGGGTGGACTGTTGTTTGATGTATTGAAGCACATGTTCCACTTGAAATGTTCAGGTATTCTCCTTGATGCATAATAACTAGGTGCTAGAATTTGGAAAGCAACCTTACAAACTTAGTTTTAGTAAGCAGAGATTTTTGGCTAAGGCTTCTGAAGCTCTTGTCCTGAAAAGGAACAGTTTCTTCTCCCCGTTTCATGGGAAGCAGTCCCTTGGGAGAAAAATGATAAATGGTTCGCTTAGAGGACCTACAATGTCCCACAGTATTCTGAACAGGAAGAAAGATTAATTCAGTCTTTGCTGATGTAGGCAGATCAGAAGCAAATACCAGGTCACTCCTCCTCTGTATTTCCGTGTCCACATATGGGCCTGTTCATCCTAAATGTCCACTCCCAGAAGCTGAAAGAAAGAAAGAATTAAAAATTCCCCACAAAAATGGACTCTCGCTTGGACTTGGCAAGCTGAATACCTTGTTTTACCTTCTTTTAAAATATATCTAACCTGCTTATTTGTTAAAACAATTCCTAAGTATTGTTAGACGCTTTAGTGCTTGTGTTTGCATTTATGCCTTACATATATAATGAGGTTTTGCCACTAAGTCACATATTTTATTTCGTGTTTTCTTTTTTTAAAGAAATTTCCCCTTCTAATGCAACCTATTCATGACTGAGGAGCTGGGAATAGCTAGACAGGTGCTGCCTTGGTTTCATCTTTCAACATGACCAATCCCCAGTGAGTACTAATGTTTGAATAAGAATTTCTGAATTTGCTTTTCTATAAAGTGTTGTTGTGTTTGATATGAGAAGGCATCCAACAATGGATCAATTCTCTCTTGCTCAGGAAAGACGGAGATTGCTGTATTAGAAAACTTTCAGTTGTATGTATAGCCTCTAAAACCTCCCCACTTCCTCCCTACCTTTCATCTCATATAGAGCTTTCTTTTAAACAAAAAACAAACATGACCTCTTCTTTCTATCTCAGTTCCTTGAAACTTCTCCTTTCTATTGAAAAAGGAGGGTTCTCATGCTGTTACCATTTTTTGTTGTTTCTCTGCCCCATCCAGGTGGTGCCAGTCTGGAAGGATTTCATTTCTAAAATGACCAAACAGGTGTTGAACATGGCCATATTCTAATACATTCTGTTTAATATCATTAACAACTAATGGTCAAATGCTGTTTTTCCAAAGCAGTTATTCAGAAAGTCTGTTCTCCTAGCCTAAATTCCAGGCTTTGCTAGCAACAGGGCAAAACATGCCTGCATGGACTGGTTTTAATCATTATATAGACAGAGGTAAAGTTGGTGTAGTGGTTAAGGTACTGGGCTAGAAGCCAGGAAACCGTGAGTTCTAGTCCCGCCTTAGGCACAAAACCAACTGGGTGATCTTGGGCCAGTCACTCTTTCTCAGCCCTAGGAAGGAGGCAATGGCAAACCACTTTCTGAAAAAAACTTGCAAAGAAAACTGCAGGGATTAGTCCAGGCAGTTGCCAGGAGTCAACGCCTCCCCCCCCCCCAAAAAAATTGCAGATCTTTACACAGCCATCCTGTACTAGCAGGAAGGCTGATATAATGAATCTGAGAGACCAGCATCCCAAAACCTTCTAGTTACCAATGGATCCAATTTCATATAAATCACACCAATTTTTTCCCTTTCTCCTTCATTTTGAATGTCTGCAGAACTGGAAATGTAGTTTAAATAATAGATAAAAGGAAGTTTTGCATGTTATAGACAAAATGTGTAATGGCCATCTGACTTTTAAACATTTTCTTAGGATTATAACAATTGCTACCATGGAACTAGCTGCTCAGTAGTAAAATGCAAAATACCAGTTAAGTTCCCATAAGCCTCTTGGCATCATATTTATATGTGTGCATGGACCTATAGACTTTAGAATAAAGTTCAGTGGATTGTGGTTGGGTTCAAGCATAATGTGCTTTGTTTAGCTTTGGGTTCCATTCTATAGGTATATTATTTTGAAACATTCAGACATCTGTATCCATCACATGTACTTTAAATAACCTGATGTCCTTCAGATGTTTGAACTACAGTCCATATAATCCCTAACTGTTGCTCATGCTAACTGGGGTTGATGGTAATCAAAAGTAGTTGGATGGCCTGGCTGTCTGGCTCTGTTCTAATGTGTTCTTCTCAAGTACACCAGGTGCTACTCTTTTTCTTTTGTTATCTAGAAACAAGAGGATATAATAAGCTTTGCTGTTCCCTTTTTCAAATCCTCATGTTTGTACAAAAAACCAGATGTTTTGTTTGGGGCAAATATTCTTGCATAATTTGCCCCCTGGAATAGAGTGTCTTCTGTAATTATCCAGTTGATTATCCAGCCCATTTAATTCACGAGAGGATTTTAAACACTTTCTTGAGAGAGAAATCAGTGCAATGTCTGCAGCCAGCTCATCAAAAAGAAGTTGAATGTGAAGCTGTTTTTTTTTTTTTTCTGTTTACCTTACCTGGTTTGTTCCAGTCTCATGATGTTATTAACTCATTATCCTGTATTACTGAGAGCAGATGATGGCAGGAGGGAGATCCGGTTTGGACTTTTTGACATTCTTAAAGGCAGCCATTGAGGTGGGGTGATCCTGTTTTCCTTCATCATTTCTCCAAGATTGCATTATTTACTTGTCAGCCCTTTGAGGAAAGCCAGGTCAGGAAACAGCACCTGGATCACCTGAATGCCACTATTGACATAGGGTATAATAACAGAAGCCTGAAAGACTGCCAGGGTTTCCCTCTGCCCCCTCTTATCCCATACAGAATCAAAGTGGAGTTATCTTGAATCTCTTTCTCACACACACTGCTTTCCTGGGGCCCTTCAAGGTAGGCCAGGTCAGAAAAGAGGACTCCTGGAGCTCCACTTTATTGTGGTAGGGTATAATAACAGCATCTTGAAAACCTGCCAGAGTTGATACCAAACAGACTCAAGGTGGGGTTATTTTGAGTTCCTTTGGTTTCCCTTCCTCCTGCAGCCCCACTGTAATAGCTGCTTGGAAGCAATGAGAAAGTCTCTTGGTGATCCAGTCATCATTCACTTCCCAGTTTGCTTTTAATCTGGCTTTTGGTAAAGAGATTGATAACTGTAACCTGCCATGAGTCAAACGGGAATCTCCGTCCATTCTTAAGTATATGTTTATCTCTCAGCTTTTTCCATTCATTGGGTTGAATATAAAAGAATCTGCAGGAATGTGTTGGCATGAAACTGATTCTGAGGATATCTAATGGCTAGAAGCATGACCCTGTGAATCAATTAATATTACAATCAAACAGAACACAAAATATAACTTACTCCAGAAGTGTTCCATGAACCATAACAATCTGTAAATTGGTCTTCTGGCACCAAGCCTTTGAGATACAACTAGGGACATTGACACGTTGATATCCTCCGTGTTCAGTCATAGGAGCATTTTTAAGCAGAAGACTCTCTCTCACACCTTAAATCAGGGTTTCTCAACCTTGGCCACTTTAAGATATGTGGACTTCAACTCCCAGAATTCCCCACCCAGCCAAGTTGAAGTCCACACATCTTAAAGTGGCCAAGGTTGATGAACACTGCCTTAGATAAACATTGCTATCCCATATATAATTATTGGATCAGGTACCAGTCTACCTATGTTTAGTTAAGTTGTTAGCTTTGTTTATAACGATGCACTTTTACCGCTGGTACTTGTACATGTTTATATTTTATGAAAACGTCTACAAAGCGCTGCTTTGAACAGGAGTGTGCCATTTGGGGCTGATTCTGTTTTGCTTTTCATTGATGCCTTCATTAGGCCTCCTATAGAAGGTGGAGTTTCAGAAGTGGAAATAATTTCACAACACATAGAAGAAGAGACCAGAAGCGTAGCACCTGTACAGCTTGTAAATTTTGCATATCGGGATTTACCCCTGGCTGCGCTAGATCTATCTGTAGCAGGTTCCCAGCTCTTGTCAAATTTGGATGAGGAGTACCAAAGAGAAGGGTAAGCACGTATTTACTTATTTAAACATTTCTCTCTCATCTTCCCCATAAGATCAAGATGGTTTGTAATGTAGTTGCAGAACAACAGTAAAATAATGTAATTACAATACAACTGGTTACTTTTGAAGCCGCTCAGAAGTTTCTAGGACCTCTCTTGTGGCTCTCAAGTGAGCCTGTCTCCTTGGTAGCTCTCAAAACTCTTTGAAGCAGTGCTTCTGTTCCTACTTCAAGCAGACAGAGCAACTGCTAATATTAGATATTTTTTAATGTTAATAAAATTGGTCCTAAAAGGGCACAGGTAAATACATGGTGCATAGTCATCTGACGGTATGGTATGAACCAATGAAAGAACTCATTTGTATATTTATAAAACCACAAAAATACTTAATTTAAAATGCCCAAAGATCTTACAGCAACAAAAGAACAGTAGAACAGTTGACAAAGATAAAGCATGTTACAAAAAAATGCCAAAGAAATGAACAGGGGAGGAAAGGTAGTGCTTGCTGGATGCTTAAAAGACCTTAGCATAGATGCTTGATGAGCCTACCTTACAAGCCTTTCAGATTTTGCATGTAGGAGCCCCATCTGCTAGAATAAATAGCATTTGGCTATTCCCAGTGAGAACAAATGCATGCAGCTAGTTAGACCATTACTCTGACTGGCAATCAAGTCTTCTGTAGGACCAGTATACCCTGTTGTTATACCCTACAAGTGTTTGTAAAGTTATGTAACATTAGACCTACGAAGATACCCTTTTAGTGTCCGGTAATTTTCATCTGTCCCTCACTGTCTCATCTCCACATCAGTCCTACCTATATTAACAGTGGTGTATTTGAATTAGGCCCAATTTCCATTTCTAGCACTTTGGCACATTAGTCAGTTCTATTAAGGCCTTCCCTTCTGAGAACAGCTGCATTAATTTGTTCATACATGTGGGTAAATCTTCATCCTGTTTGGAGATCCTGTGGCAGAAAGGATCTTTTTTGAAAGTTGGGTTTATGCCCATGTGTGGAGGAATAAGGGCCAGTACCTGGAATTGCTGATGGCTCCCCAGGACCAAAGTATCCTGAAGTCTTAAGATGCGTTGGGACTTATAATTGGTCACTTCAGCAGAAACTGCTGTCCTGTTTTTTAGAGTTTTGCTTGTTTAGTACAACTGGAGCATGTGTTCCTGACTTGCAGCTCCATTTGCATAGAAAATTGCAGTACTGGCTGTGGTGTTAGAATTTTGTCTTGAAGACAGAACAGTTCCGCAGGGTGGTATCTCTCTCTTTCGTTTAATTAAAAACCCAATGTCCCCATACTGCAAAATAGTGGTTTAGAGAGGTAAGAAACAAATTGCTTTAAAGTATGTGCTTACACCAATATTTTCATCATATTCAGAACTGAGCTTACAATCCATTTCACCTCCTACCTCCAATTTCCTCCTGGTTTCTCCCACACTTTTTTTTATTATGTCAATAATTTAATGCACAGACAGGGAACTTTTTTTGCTATTATTAAATCATTGTTCAGATATCTGAGCCCATCCTCAAGCGACCTTGACTGTGCATTGTTGCTGTTATTCAGTCATGTTGTCTTTTTAGAGTTCTTACAGTTATGATACTAATCACCAGGGAAAGGGGTTTGATTATAGTTGTTTTTGTGGAACCTAAGACTTTAGTTTCTGACTTTGACAGTTTCATAATAAATTACAGTTCCATGTTTCAGTCAGAAACAGGAGGTTCCCAAAACCATTGCTGTTTTCTTTCATGCATATCATATTATGTCTTGAAATAAGGGTTATAAAATGCTTTTAGGCTATGTACCTTTTAGGTTCATAAAATGCTTTTAGGCTGGAATTGTAGCTAGACAAATAGAGGAGTGTTCTTCTAAAAAGGGCCTTAGAAGAAATAAGATTTAGGATGATCTTGACATAATGGAGAATTGGGGGCAAAGTGAATTTTAGCAAAGTTGTCCACGCATAACAAATAGCAGCTTTCCTGTTCTGGCTTAAAGAGCTGCAGCTTGCAAATGTAGTTCAGTGAATGGATTGAGATAACAGGATGGATTGTTGCATGGAAGGTAGAGAAGATGGGAGGATGTGTGAAAGTGTTTGTGTTTTACTATTCAAAACCCTTGAGAATGAAACTAATAAATGCATTGAAGAAAGAAGCTTTTTCCCATGTCTTCCATTTACAAAACCAAGTTTGTAATCCTAGACAGGTCACTGCTCGCATAGCCCATTTCACGAAGGGGGATTATGAGAATAAAAATATGAGGCACAGTACAAGTCAGATTACCCTCTGCAGCCTTCTTGGAAACATAACCTTTTCGAAGGATGTTCCATTCCACCGCGACCCCCGCCCCATTTTTGTTTCCTCTTTCCAACAGTTAACTTTCTGTGCCCTCTAAATATAACCACCTCTGATTGTGACTGTTTCCCTCTTATCCTTCAATTTTTTTCTTCTATTTCTAGAAACTGCGAGGCTTCCCTAAACCTGCTTACTACTTCCTTTCTTATGTAGATGGAGCCATATTGGCTAAATCAGGATTTACAGTGTATTTGAAGTAGTAATTTACTCTTAATAGATACAACATGATGTCATCATCTTAAAATTCTTGGATTCTTTTAGGTCTCCAGTCCTAGTCTCTAAAAAACATTTTATTTTATTATTTTTTTAGTTTTCGGACCTAAGGGCTGATACATCTGTCTTTTAAATTGCTCACTACTTTTCTGGTTTGCATTCTGCAGTCATGCCAAGCAAAACTACGTGTCCGTTCACATGCCATGGTGCTGCATTTTGGAGCATAACTCCCCCTTCCCCCTCTTCCAAGTCAAGAAAGCGGAAACTGTGACATCTGTTAGCAGCTTGAGTTGAAGTGTTTGTAGTGGCTCATTACCAAAGAATTATGGTAATCTTTTCCCACTCTTTTTCAGTGTTGAGCATTTGCTTAAACAGTGGTATATTACAAAAATTGTCAGTTGGTAACATACTGACTTGGTACACAGAGAATGCTGTTGAAAGATGCACATTTTTCCTTTCTTCTTAAATTGGCATTCCTGATCTTTCCCTCTCAGCATATTTTAAAATCTCTCAGTTTAAAAAGAAATGTATGAATAGATTTATACTGGGAATCTCACACATCAGCCTCTTAAAAAAAAATCACAAAAGTTTTATTGATTTCAATGAATGCTCCTTTACTGATGAAAATGGCTTGATCTTTTCCTCTGAAGAGGTTCAGCTTGTTTAAGAATGTGTGTCACCCAGTTGCTGCCTTTCTATCTATGTATCCTTAAAACTGGAAAGGAAATACCTTTCTTTTTTGTAACTTCTATCTAGCCATTTCTACTATCTGCCAAGTGAAATTCAGGCATCTCTTTCTACCACTTTTCTGGCAACCGGCAATGTTTTTGAAAGAGGCTAGTGTTCTTTGATTATGATCCTTTTAGATATTTGTTGTTATAATAATAATACACTGTTTTTAGGTGATATTGGTGTAACTTACTAAATATATACTAATATTACTTACATCCCTAAAGAATGATAAACATATACATTCTGTAAGTGAAGACTTTAAAAATGGGATTTTCTAATTGATCCTGGGTCTTTAATTATATCTTTTTGTTGGTGGTAGTTTCAAACCCATTCCAATTCCAGTATTTCTCCCCCCTTTTTTTTTTTTTAACAAGTCCCAGTTAAAATTACAACCTTATATTCCATAATCCCTTTAAATATAGGCATCTCTGCCACCTACTGTCCATTCTGGGAATTTTTAAAAGAAAAGTCAAAGATTTAGAATAAATATTTAGAAATGACAAATAAAGAAAAAGATCAAGCAAGTACAAATGTCTAGATATAATGTTGGGAGAAGGATGTAACTATTTATTTTTAAATGTAAGTAAATCATCTACTAGCCATGATTTTAGAAAGTACCGCAAGTAACATAACTATAACTCCTTCATATCTGCAATTAGTCCCTGGTTTTTGACAGATGGCAGCTGAAGTCTTGAGAAATTACTTAGGACGTTTATTAGTAAACTGGGGTCTGAGCTTGGTGCTCTCTGTTCTGTTGCACTACGTAAAGTCTTAATGATATTTGCTCTAGAACATTATGTCCTATAGAGAAAGAACATGCTTTGTTACATTGGCAGAGGTTTCAAGGAAGAATGAATGCTTTGCATACAGAAAGGATGCAATGTTCAATTAGTCCTTGGTGTCTCAAATTAAATTGTCAGGTCGCCAGTGTTGGGGAAGACCTCTCTGCAGTAAATGCCTTTTTATCAGGGTCATCACTGCTGGATAAAATGGTTTAGTGTTTTGATCCAGTATAAGGCAGCGTGATATTGTCAAAAGGTAGGAATAATGGCAACAGCCAAAGCAAGGAACTGTAGCATTCCAAGAAGTGGTAATGTTGTTTTCATTCCTTGTTTGTTTTGATGCTGAAGTTGTATGAAGAATTCTGTGGGCTTTGTGCCTGTGCAATCCCTGATCCTCTAAAAAATTAAAATGGGAAATTCTGGTTTTGCAGTACATGCACACACAGTGTAGAATAAAAGAAGCGTGTTGCAAATCATCAAAGAAGCTTACTTAATTTAGATCTGGAAATGCTTTTGTATTTTAAAACATATATAAAGGAGTCCTAGATTATGTTTCTGATGGCCACTGACTTTGAAGGGCAATTAAACAGGTTCGTGCAGGTGAATAAAGCTGTTAATGGATACCAGTTGTGATGGTTATTATTTAATAATTCCAGCTTTGGAAGCCATATGCCTTCAGTACCCACTGCTGGCCAGAGTGACTAGGTGTGGGCTCTTGAGCTTGTACCTTGCTCGTAGCCTTCTAGCTGGCAAATGCATGAACTGAATGTGAGTCTAGATGGGCCTTTGGTCTGAGCCTGCATTGCTCCTCTTTGCTGCTTGCACATTTTGTACAAAAGGAACCATTGCAGTTGAATCTGCATTCCCTGTGCTTGTTGGTCACAAGGAAAATATGCAACTCGTACTTACATCACGCGTGCAGTGAGCATGGTGTGTTCACTGAGCACATAGTTGGAGTAAATATGTACCATAAAAGATGTGTTTTATAAGGATATTGTGGTATAGTGGTTTGGGTGTTGGACTAGGACCAGGATGGAGGAGGTCCATGTCCTTCCCCAACCATGGAAACTCATCGGATGACTTGCCTAGTCACATTCTCTCAGCCCAACCATATAGGATTGCTGTTATGGGGATGAAATGGAGATCCCCAGGTTAAATTTATATCCTGCCTCAGAAGGAAAGGCAGGATATAAATTTAACAAATGAATAAGAACAGAATCTTAAATGCCCCACACACCTTCTGCTCATACAGAACACAGCTGCTTCTGTCCTGCTGTTCTTTAACTCTCGACCTTTTTCTTGTCTGTCTTCCTCTTCTTCCTTCCTCCCTCTGTTTTTATTCCTTCAGATCTAACTGGCTTAAGCCGTGCTGCGGGAGGCGAGCGGCCGTGTGGCAGGTATTTTTGCTCAGTGCAAGTCTCAACAGTTTCCTGGTAGCCTGTGTAGTGTTGGTGGTGATTCTTCTGACTCTGGAACTCCTAATAGATATAAAGCTTCTCCAGTGTGAGTAGCAGGCCTTTACGGTTTTTTTCTTCCTGAAATGTTTGAACAAACCACAGGATGTTTAGGTAGAATGGGTTATAGGAAGGTGAGTGGGCTTGCATAGGCTAGATGGGATATAAGCCTTATTTCTTAAACTTTACCACTAGAAGACTTTTGGATGAATATTCAAGGGCACTGATCAAAGCCTTACTATTTTTCCTTCAGCCTGTCTTGGAGAAGATGTTTTTTAGCACTCACACAACCCTAACCAAATACCAAAAGAGGCTGCGTGTTGTACCAGTTTTCTTTTAACAAACCTTTTCCAGACATAGATGAAATCTGCCATCACATGGAGCCTCATGCATCCCGCAGAGGTTTCATGTAAGGGGAAATAAAAACTGTTATTCAAACGTGTTTTATTTGAATATTGCTTCTGTTTTCCCCCATTTTTTAAAAAGCAGCAGACATAGCTGTTACATCCTTGCGTTTCAGAATTTGTGTGTGTCTCTGCTATTATTTTCCCCAGTGTAAAAATATATGATTATGTTCAGTTTTCCATGGACTTGAAAAGTTTAAGAAACAACACTGAATGTTTGATGGATTTACCCTTCTTGGTTTGGGGCTAGTTTCAGTGAAATTCCTACTGTCAGTTCTGGCTCTCTTATATATATTCCTCTTTGTGTCTGTGTCGTATTGATTTTGTCATTTTTTTTATGGCCAGAATGGTTTTCTTCACATTTTGTTTGCATGATAACAGTCGCTGTCATATTCCCACATTATGGTAGTAGGTGTGTGCTAAACAAGATTCTGGAAATGCGTGTATAAAAGAACAGGCAGACTTATGTTGAAGGGACTAGTATGGAGCAAATACTGCCTTCTTAAAAAACTTTTTTTGCTTTGAACCATAATCCAAAATAAGAATATTCAGGGTTCTGTAGGCCTTGCTTATTCAGCTTCATTTGTCCTAGATGATTTCTGTTATCACTTATGGTACAGGAATTACATGGTAATGCTTAGAACTACAGTTAGAGAACATAAGGTTTATCTCCTACTAGGCCAGGTTGTGTGTCCCAGTGTTTCTCAACCTTGGCAGCTTGAAGATGTGTGGACTTCAACTCCCAGGATTCCCCAGCCAGCAAGCTTCTTCAAGTTGCCAAGGTTGAGAAACATTGATTTAACCTAATGGGTCTGCTCTGACAGGCAGCTGCACTCCAGGCTGAATCATGTTTATCATTCGCTCTCTGATCTCTTAAAATGGAGTTACCAGAAATCCAGGCTCAGTGCTTCCCCCATCCCTCCAATGGCATTTTCTTTCTTGATTTAGCTACAGTATTAGAAAGGTGTTGTATATTCTACAGTATATTCAAACTCTCAAGCTGGAGAGCCCCACCCAAAGACTAACATTCTTCATCAGTTTGTTGAGTTGCTTATTTTCAGGGTGGTTCGCTAGGTTTGGAACGCAATTTTCAGGGCCGGGCCGTGGTTAACTGTAGTCTCTAATCACCTGGGACATTTGACCTTCTACCATTCTGCCACTAGTCAAACAACTCCCCGTGGAAGTAGATGTGAACAGCAAATGTATTGCCATGCACAGATGTTTTATCTAGGAATTGATACGTGAGTTTAAACTAAATGTGGCTTAAGGATAAATTTTCATATTGGCTATTTTTATTACCTTCTAAAAGAAAGCAGAAAATATTTTAAATAAAGCAATGAATTCTACTGCTTATATTTTATTCTCTCCTGTTTATATTAATTGGAGTAGTATAGTGGTTAAGTAGTAGACTTGGACTGGGAAGATCCATATTCAGTACATTCAGCCATGGGCCAATGTTGTGTTTCAGCATAGCCAATTTTACAGGGTTGTCTTTCCAAGAATAAGCTAAAGAGAAATCCTGAAGTATGTCTCTTTATTCCCAGAGAAAAGGCAGGATACAAATATAATAACCATTATAATACATGAGCATTACTCTGTTGATTATTTCTAACTTGTTTGGTTTTTAAACTGTCCTAAGGAAAATTTTATAAGGCAGCTGGCAAACTCTGAAGACTGATTGATCTGTTGATTAGAATTCTATGTCAATAAAAAGCAATGCTTCACCTCTCCAAAAATCCTGTCCCAAGAGCCTGTAATGTGCCTAACAGCTTTTATTCTGTGTATTCTATTTTGTACCTCTTTGATCGAACAGTTACGCAGGTTCCAAATGACTTTTTCTTCATAAGAACGTTGCTAATTGCTGTCTTGATTTCTGTTTTTTCTTTATACCATCCCTCATGATACTACTGGAACTTTTACCACATAGTTTAGTTTCTTTCACAATGCAACCAGGCTGTGATGTATCAGTACAGCGAGCTCAGGCATTTAATTTTAAAATACATTTTAAGACTGAACATTCTGCTTTGACCTTTGTATTACATACATGTAATATGTAACTTGCTTTTGGTCCTCAATTGTAGTTTCAAGTGCATCACAATTTGCTGGAGTTATTCACTGGATCAGTCTAGTTATCCTATCTATCTTCTTTTCAGAGGTAAGTGAAATATAAATTGTAACTGTATGGAAAAGGAATATGACTGGCTTTTGGCTTCTGTTATTTATATTGATAGTGCCACAGGATAGCTTCCCCTAAAATGTTGCTGGAGCATTGATCCAATACAATCCAAGGGGATATTTTTAGGGGTTCTTACCATGATTTCAAATGTGTAGCAAATAAGTTATAATGCCCTGTGTTGTTGGTTTTTTTTAATACTAAACTTCCTAGAACTTGTTTTGCCTTAGAAAAATGCAATAAATTCAGTACACGTGGTAGATGAAAATACATCAGATCTCTTCACTCAGGAGCCATGTATGCCAAATTGCTTGAACTATCCGGGTTCTGTTAAATTGTATTTGCAAGCTTTATCTACGAGACTTTAAGTGCAAAATACTGAGCCAGTATCTTAAGGGGTTTAATTTCTCATTGCCTGCTTCTAAATGGCCAGATTCATACCTCATTAGAAACATATTTTCTTGCCAAACTTCAAATAAGGCATGAAATTGACTTAGCAGCTGTGTTCACTAAACTGTGGGCAGGCTTAGTGTGTCCTCTTAGCACCCAACGCAATCAGCAGTTGGGATAGAAATGGATAGTTTTAGCCCTGGGATTGTTTTAGGCTCATCCCTAATTAGCCACATTGTACAAATGGGGATGAGAGCATTAGTCCTTCCTTCCAGCTGCCAGCCCAGAGATGAAATCTTGGAGTGGCCCAACAAAATTAGGATTGGTCCATGAATTCCTTCTGTCTGCTTGTTTTACTTCCCCATCCCTGTGGACACATAGGAGACCAGAATGGAAGAGGAAAAGAGATCTCCCCCAACTTTGTCCACAGTAGCACTGACCCTGATTAGGGCATCCCAAATCTTTTTTTTTTTTTAATTTCCACCAAAGATTTAAATAATTTTTTTAAAAGGCATGAAAGCCTTCCAACCAACTTTGCAGTAACTGGACCATGCCCTGCTTGATCAGGACATCCATGAAAGTACTTTCCCTGGGGTGGCAACATTGTTTGAACACAACCAACATGCATTTCATAAAGCGGTCTGTTAAATGGATGCACAAGACTTTAAAAAAAGAAGCGTCCAGTGTGAGAGTTATCAGCTATGACTAACTCAAGCAGATGGGAATGCATAAGATTCCACTAGAAGAGGTTTATGGCTGAGGGACTCCCAATACTTTGGACTGACGAAAATAAATCTGCCTATGGGATTACTCAGCCAATTGCTGCAGAAATCTGGCACTGACAACAGCCTATCAAAGTGCTGAAATAAATTGTCAACAAAAACTTTATACATTTTATTGAAACAGTTCATTTTCACCTTTGCTCCCCATCAATTTGCAGATTATATTCTTATAATCAGGTGCCATGACAAAGATTTTACAGGGGTTTGCCATTGCATTTGATTATTATTCAGATCCAGTTTCCTTTGTAGGCATTGGGTATATCCTCTGCTTTTCTGCCCTGAGAAAAACACTTGCGTTCTCAGATGGTCTAAAACAGTGTTTCTCAACCTTGGCAGCTTGAAGATGTGTGGACTTCAACTCCCAGAATGCCCCAACCAGCATGTATTTTCTTCCATGTATTTCTGGAACGAATTAAAGATTGGGAAAAGCATTTTCTGTGTTGAGCTGTCTTTCAGCCAAAAGAAAATGAAACTTCAGAGAACTCAGAGCCCTTGACTATTGCACCCTTGTAAAAAGGCGTTCATAATGGCAGATACCGAAGAACCTTTATCTGAGTCACGTTCCTTTTACTGTTGTCTCTTTGACTCACTTTACTACCATCGGAGCAATATTGTCTTCCTATTAGTTTCTTTTAAAAGGCCCTCCCTTGTTGCCTCAACCAGAATGTTTGGCATATAGGACTTTACATTTGTTGCTTTCAATTTTATTTCCTGCTGTTTAAGTCATTTGAAATCAGAAGCTTTTTCTGATCTACTGTGAAGGAGCTAGATTGTAGATCCCTTATATCTACTGTTTTCAGTGTTCCTTTTTTCCTCCCCAATCTGATAACACGCACCTTATACCACACTGGCTCTTGTACATGAAGCTAAAAATCATGTCTGAGCAAGAGGTACCACTGAGTATCAGTTGCAAGAGACAGGTGAAAGCAGTGCATCTTTTGAAGAACGGAATAAGCTTTATATCTAATTGATGCCAAATGTCAGCATTTTTCTAAATGAATGTGTAAAACACAAATGCTAATTTCCTCTCTTCTCTCCCCCTCCTTTTTTTTCAACATGCACTTTCGTTAGACTATTTTGAGAATAGTGGTACTTGGTATATGGGACTATATTGAAAACAAAATAGAGGTAAGTCAAAAGTAATGTAATCTTTCATGACCTGTCCCTCTTGCCCAAAGCTTGGAGTGTACTGCACAGGTTTCTGCTACTTGTTGTAGCAACCAAGTTCATTCTGGTTTCCCTTGCACATACAAAACTTCCCCTCCAATCCATAACTTGTAGGAGTGCTGACTTCATATCCCAAAGGGATTGTCCAGGTTGAAAATTTAACACATCTGGAAGACAACAGACTAGGGAACATTACCCTCAGGAAACTAAAAAAAACTTGCCCTGGGATTTGTACAGCCATTATCCTGTTGTAGGAGATTTCATAACTTATGTGACACACCAGACACTGCAATAGTATTAACATCTGGACCGATCTCAAAGATGCTTTCCAAATTTTATAGAGTTGTCTGATCATATAATTAGGTTTCCTGTACCTAAGCAGCTCATTGGACAGTTGACCTTATTGTAGAGAATTTGGAAAAGTCTTGATAGATGAGAACAACCTACAATTAGAAAACCCATAGAAGAAAACTGCTATCTATCTATCTCTATCTAACCCAGTTTTGTTCATGTTGGCAATGTATTTTCAAGGTCTCAGTTGGAAAACATCTATTCTTTTAAACCAGAAACTTTGCAGGATTCAACCTTAGATTTTCTGTGTAAGCTCTACCAGTGGGGTACTCTGTGTACTTTTCTGACCATCAGGATCAGACAAAAGATTGTATGACAAATGGATTTTGTTAACAAGTTGAACAGAATCTAGCTGTCCAGTTAACTAGGATTGATTTTTCTGTCACCTGTTTTGTTCAAGCCAAGAGGTATTTTTAAGTCAGCCATGCAGGAAGATTTAATTTATAACTGATCGTGACCTTTATATGATTTTTCTTTTGTAATAAAGAGAATGAAAAGCAGATAAATAAATGAAGAGTTCTTTGGCCCTAGGACTTCTGCATGGATTAATCTCAATTGCAACTGTCTTGAAAAATGTCAGTGAGACCTACATGCAGGTTAAGTGATACAGTAGAAATGCAGTGTTGCATATTTTGCCTAAATTGTAGCTCCTTTGCAGGGAAGTTGCTAAGCTTTATGACAAGCAGCTAACCATTTAAAATGTGATTACGATAAATAAGACAAAATTTGTCTTATTGGCTAGCGTCTAAGTAAAATAGCCAGTATGGATCTAAAGAAGAGAAAGGGCTGGACTTGTCATTTGATAATGTGTTCCAAAATAATGTGGAAGTGCTTCTTGTGAAATCCTTCTCACATTAGGTATTTGATGGTGCTGTGATCATCTTATCTTTGGCTCCTATGGTGGCATCTACAGTGGCTAATGGACCAAGTAGTCCATGGGATGCTATTAGTCTTATTATTACTCTGAGAATTTGGAGAGTCAAGCGGATTATTGATGGTAAGTCATTCCTTTGTTAAATGTATACAACATATTTTATGCTTACTTTTCAAGTGGAAAACTCAGATTTAGCTAGTTGACTCTCGCTGAGAAGATGAACCAATTCCCAATGTACTTATGTCACCTTTTTTGTACCAGTGTCATAACAGATACATCAAAGGAGGGTGCACTTAGAATTCTGCAAGAAAAATAACCTGCAGGATGTGGAGCTAGGAAAAAGAAAGAGGCGCTAGCTCAGGGACGGAGCCGTCCAATGCCTGGCAACTCCTATTAAAGGAACTGCATGTGGAAAATCCACCTGAGATCCATTAGACAATCAGAGTAGAACAGATGGGCCTGGATGAGCAAATCTTCCTTCCTTTTTCCTAAGTAACACCCCAGATGTCTTCCTTTTGGAACTTGTAAGGCAGTTTTGAAGCCATGTAGCTGCCTGGAAAGGCTTGGAGGTAGTAGATAATTTTGACAAGCTGGGAGAATCTTTCTTACAGGTTGTTGTTCAGCCTGTTCTCAGAATTATCCTCTCTCCTGATCAGACCTCAGTTCTTTAAAGAGTCTCGTCTCATAAGGTCTGATGTTGTATTTGTCAAGTGAGGCCTCGTGACCTGTTACACTTTCCGTGATGGTAGAAAGTCTGTGTTTGCGGTAGCTAATTAGCAATACTAAGTACAGAGAACTGCCTTCTGTCTGGTGTGTAAGATCACGTTTGCACGGTTGTGCTTTCTAGCCTACGTACTGCCTGTGAAAGTGGAAATGGAGATGGTGATTCAACAGTATGAGAAAGCAAAGGTCATTCAAGATGAGCAGCTGGAAAGACTGACCCACATCTGCCAAGAACAGGGGGTAAGGCACAGTTGTATTTTCATGCCAGTGTTAATTTTTTTCGTTTACCAACTTTTGCTTGTGTTTAAAATTAATCAGGCAGGCATGCTTGTTTCTGTTAATAAACCAAAGTTGGTGAAATAATTATATTAAATCAGATCACTGTGAATTCAAAGCATGAAAAACAATCAGTGTAATGTTTTTAGGAAAACTCACACCACCACCCCAACATATAATAAAAAGGACAGTAACTGGGTTGGCCCCATCAGGTACCACCGAGAGGTGTTTGAAGTTGCACACTCACGCTCTTTCACTCTCGCTTCCTGACTAGGGAGATCCTGAGCTGGGTTGTTAATGACGGGTGGGTGGGATTCCTTCTCTCCTCTAGCAGCATTATGCTTAACTGGTCTTTCTGACTGAGCTCAAACTAGACCAGGTTTCCCAACCTGCTTCTTTACATGTCTTTGAGCATTTGGGAAGTGGTGGTCCCAACATTTCTGAATAGATTGCCCCCCAACCCTGCCCTAGACGTTGAGGAATTATTGCCCTCTTTCAAAATGACTGCTAATGTACGAAACAGGCTTCTAATATGTTCATTATAGTACTTTTTATTTCCAGCTGCCCATCATTTCCACGTCCGCTGGACAGCAGCCAAAACACCCAGCGCTTTATTCTTGCTAGCAAATAGTTACGAGGGGTCCAGACTCATGGAAGTAAATCTTAAGAGAGCTTCTCAGTGGCAGATGAGCAAATGGGGTGCCCAGCCAGAAAGCACTGATGAAAAATACTGACGTTACGGTTCTGGGGAGGGAGCTTTCACAGCATTTATTGATCTTTCTGAAGGCTACACCAATCACCCACTGCTACAAGGCCATTAAAGAGAACAGTATGATTCTCTGATAGCACCATCCCCTGATATGTGTGTTGTAAAACAGCAGACAGGATATATTTTATATATGTCCAGTGATAAAAGGCAGGTGTTCCCGTGGGTCCCATATGACTCCTCTGTCTTTGGCTGTTCACAGTAATTGATGTCTGTGCATTTGGCGTGTCTGTGTGTCCAGACGTGTGCACACACATGGTTAGGGTGGAGGGAAGATAACTGTAGCATTTCTTAGATGTTTATGCTTTTAGCCTGACAAAGGAGTACTGTGGAACTGCTTCATAGAAAGGGTGTGTTTTTTTTTAAATCGTGTACATGAAATGCCCGTATTGCTTATTAAATGCAAAGCATGTATATCTGCATTTTCTCACCTCTTGTCACTTCTAAAGTATGCAGGTGAAGATTGTACATAGCAGAAGACCAAGTATTTTTCCCGTGTTAATGGTCATTTTCTTGGAAAAATTAGAGCATCCATCTGGGGAATGAGATATTAATCTAATTTGGTCCTGCTTTTCTATAAATATTGTACTTAACCAGGCTTATAAACTTCTGAAAGCGCACCACACAATATACAGAGCAAAATAATTAAAAACATAGAGTGTTAGAGTGCCACTCTTTGTTCCAGCAACAGAATAAATTAATATTTCTGTTGCATCTTGAAGTAATGTGATAAAGTCCTGCTGAAATATATAAAATATATATTTTTGTCCTAAGCATTGGACAAAAATGTTATCTTCCCAAAGTGTTCTTTATTCTTGTTCTACCACCCAGAATACAACAAATTCACTCTGTTTCAAGTAATGGTAGGATGCATCTCGCACAGCCTCCAAAGGCATGAAGAGATAATTTGAGAGATAAATTCATTCCTCTGGTGCCAGGGAAAAATTAGAAAGCAGAAAACCTCTTCACCTGAATCCTCAAAAACCTGCATGCGGGCTAATAGAATTGGAATATTTATGCCTTTCACCTAAAGGGAACAAGCTTTTTTTTAAAAAGAAAAAACTCTCAATCACCTGGGTGCCAGAAACAGCCCACAGTTGACCCACTGTGTGGCCCCTGCCGTGTGTTCCCCAACTCCCCCCCCCACCTCTACTCTGCACTTTTCTACTTCAGCAAATGCTCCGTGCCCCAGTGCCTGGCTACGTTTTTGCCTGTTGGCCATGGGGTGGCAGCCAAGGCACTTGTTTCATTTCCCTGTGCCAATCTGGCCTCTTACGCAGTTTGGGACTCAATTTATCCACTTCCTTTTATTCTCCAAATAATTACTTGTGAATTGGGGGTGAGGCCATCCTGTGTCCACTGAAAGAGCAGAATTTGCCTGACCATTGAACCTTACTGGAAGAGGCTGGTTGCCTGGTGGATTTAAATGATTTTTGTAACACCTGAACAACTTTTCTCTCTCTCCTTTGCTCTGCTATCCAGTTACCTCTGGGGCAGTGCTGGTGTTTTTCTGGGTGCTGATGGGGAGGCTGCTTTAAATTGAGGGCCATCGTCTTGTGCACTGTAAATAAGGCATTTTTATTCTGCTTGGTGTCTCTCTGATTTCTGGTTTTTCTCGTGCCTACCAAAATGGCATTTCTAGTTCATTATACCAAAATGTTGAATTTACAGAAGCAATACTGTTTCATATCCACATCGCTTCCATTTATTTGATGGTCTTGTTCATGTTGACACATCCACGTATTAAACGCTGGTGGATCATTTTCCCAGGAAAGACAAAACACTTAATGGATTTCTCAAGGGATCACATATCACACTTTCTACCTCTACTGACTTTTGCTGAGAGAAATTAGGGAGCTGTTGAGACTTGTCAAACTATGTATGCTTTGGTTTGAAGTCAGATAGCAGTTTCTTATTTCCCTAGATGATGGTCTAATACTGGTCTTTGTCCATCAATGTACTGCCTGATTTGGTAGCACATACAGTCCTGGGGGCCCAAAAGTTTGAACTCCTGTTTTCAGAAAGCACAATTCCCTGTGGGGTCAAATTTGGCTGCTTGAAAACTCTAACTACATCAAATAACCAAGATCCAACTATGGTTACTGATGTTGGGTCTTGTTTGACCTTGAGGCTGTAAAAACAAAAAACTCTAAGCCGGAAACCACGGTTTTCTGTTACAAGTGCATATGAAAATGGCCGTTGCTAGTCTAGAAGCACCAGGAAATCTATATGTATATTTATATATCTGTGTATCTGTATCTAGAGAAAGCATGTCTAGTGTTATAGCAGTTTGGTGGTGTCTGTCTTTTGTAAGTTGGTCCACTACTTTTTCAAAATATCACGTATTTTTAAAAAGCTTTTATTGTCACTGTGATGATAAGTGCTAAAAAGATATCTTGGTTGCTTTGATTTCTGTGTGAGTTTAGAAATGGCTGTTATACCTTCGGCATGTTGATATGACTTTTCATTTTCATGGCATCTGTTGTCAGACTCAGTTCACACTATATCTTAGGAAGTGTTAGAGTTTGTGCCTCTAAATTAAATATTTAGAGGGCAAACTCTAAAGGCAAGCAGTTACATCTGGTTTCAATTATCAAAACAATCATCTTTGATTTCCCCCCCTCTAAATTTGCCTATTTAACATAGGTTTGGTGATGATGGCCTTAGGTATTTTCAGAAAATCTGTGATTAGAAATGTACATGCAACACTATTTCCAAACAGAAAAAAAAATGAAACAATGAGAGAATTGATGTGAAAATGCCTTTGATTTCTAAAAAAACAATCAGCTTTTTACACAGTGCGTATCTGTGTTAAAAGACCAAAATAAATGGAAACCTCCAATTGTTAAATTTTAGTGATGGCATTGAATTGGAAAGCACCGAAGTTAGACACAGGAATTGGGGGTATCGTGACCATTAAAATAGCGTGTTGAAAGGTGTCATTTGATGGTATCCTTTTTTAGTAATAACATATTCTTTGGAATCATACTAGGGATCAGAGAGATCTAGTGCAGATATAATGGCCACATTTACACATTTACTTTCCTACTGAAAAACAGCTGGGAACCAAGGCTGGGAAACATATTTTGCCACAATTGGTACAAATTATGTTGTGGGCATCCATGCCATTTTCACCATCTTAGGTTGGTTTCAGGGCCAGAGTAAGCCATCCTGAGTTTTGTGTGAGCAGGTCATTTAACCCAATTGTGGATAAAACAACCTATGCCTTAGCGCAGTGTGTAAATCCAGTGATGGCCTTTAGTAACCCTTGAACCATTGTTATGTCAGCCTAAAAGCCCTTTCAGAACAAGACCTTTCCACCAGGTCAAGCTGGTCACTTTTACAGATGTTGTCTGGATGCAAGAAGTTCAAACTCTGTTGTTGATGCCTTTTTAGGAGCGCTGCCAGAACACTGCTCCTTCGTGGGTGTCTTCTTTCACATGCCATATACCTCTGCATATTGCACGTTGCTGTTTTTTTAAAAAACTGGATTTTTTCTCCCTCTCTCTGGCTTCAGTTTGAAATTAGACAGCTGAGGGCTCATCTGGCGCAACAGGATCTGGATCTGGCAGCTGAGAGAGAGGCAGCTTTGCAGGTGCCTCACGTGCTGAAGAAGCAGACAGGCAACCGATACAAAGTGGTGGCCGCCGGGGGCGATTCTGATGATGAAACTACTGGGAATATCACAGAGTTGCGGCCAGCTCGGGGTAAGTGGGAGAGAGTCCGTAGTTACAGCTGCCTTTTTTTTAAGTGGAGTCCAGCTGTGCATTCTTGCTAAGCAGTCTCCGTTCATTTCAACCTGACGTATGTAGACTTCCCCAGGTTAGAGAAGGAAGCGGTAGCAGTGTCTTAGAATCAGATGGCCCAGGACAATATGCCAGGGGCTGTTCTTTTAGGAACTGGATTTGTGGCCTGAGTAGTTTTCATCCCAGATAGGAACCTTGGATTCCAAACTCAGCAGGATATTTTGATTGTGTGCTGCTTAGAACGCTCTTGATCAAAACTGTAATAAAGAATATATTTGTGCAATGTCAGCATTAGCAGTATCTCCCACCAACAGGTTACACAGGGCTCCCTCTTACCTACAGTCATTTCTTCCATAACATAATCCATGGGTCAAGCGATTTGGCTGATATTGCCAAATCCTGTTATGTGGACATGATGGCTTTCCAAACTGGGTTTGCATCCAGCTTCATTAATCTGTGTATTCTTTTAAATCACAAAACATGGACATACTTTATCATTTATGCATATGTTCCTTGAGGGTTACATTAGGAATGGATGGGAGTGGTGCAGACTTCTGAGTGTGCTTTGCAGGATCAACCTTAAACTTTTATACTTTATAGGCTGTGTTTCTAGGTGGCTACAAGCGCAAAGTGTTTCGTCATCTTATAGAGGCTGGTCATGCATAAAACATAGCAGATCTGCCAGCCAAATAAATTGTTCCTGAATGTCTGTACATGGTATTAGGACACTTAAGTGTACTTAGAATTCACAGCCTGCTTAAAAGCAAGATAGACTAAAATCAATTAGAATTCATTTTCAAGGATGTGGTGTTAAAGAGACAGGAAGCCAGGTTGCAGTCTGGCACTGTTCAGACAAAAGAGAACTTTGCCTTGAGTTGGACTATACCTGTTAATCTTTTTTTAAGGTGCAGGGCATGTATATATGCATGTATTTGTAAATATAAAGACTTTTATACTTAAAATCGATCCCAGATCATTTAATTGGATTTCGTGGAAATACAGATTAAATACATTTTAGTCTTGCGTACTGTGTAGAGATGGCAAGGTATATCTAAAATAAGTGCACTTGAAAAGGTTCACCTCATGATGACAGCTCTGTGTGCAGTTCACATTATTTTATTTACTTATCAAAATACCTGAAATAAGCATCAGAGCCCCCTCTAGATCAGGGTTCCTCAACCTCAGCAACTTTAAGATGGGTGGACCTCAACTCCCAGAATTCCCCAGCCAGCCATGCTGGCTGGGGAATT